AGACAGACAGATAGACAGACATATTAGGAGACAAACAGACAGACGGACAGACACACACACACACACACACACACACACACACACACATGTTGGACCATCAGACAACCTTTCATTCTGGTTCATCCACTTACAGACCAGACAGACAGACAAACAGACAGACAAACAGACGGACAGATAGACAGACAGACAGACTAACAGACAAACAGACGGAGAGACATACAGACAAACAAACAGATTGACTGACTGACTGACTGAATGACTGACTGAATGACCAGACAAGGCGACAGACAGATAAACTGACAAACAGACATACAGACAGATAGACAGACAGACATACAAACCAGAGCAGACCGACAGACAGACATACAAACCAGAGCAGACCGACAGACAGATGGACAGACAGACACAACAGACGGAGCAGACAGACCACAAAACTGCTTTGTGTTGTCCATGCATATCTTTGACCTATGCAGGATTTCTTCCTGCGACAGAGATTCGTCAATGCAACATAGATGACGTTCAACCATTCAACATTATTATTGTTCTTTCTTGTTTGAATAAGAGGGGAGGAAGCAGAGTTCGGAATGACCTTTTTCTCTCTCTCTCCCCTCATGTTGAATCATTTTTTTTTTGCAATTGGACGCCATTGAACTTTATGCCGAGTGAACACTCCGAAATTGGTCAGGACCGCAACACAGAACACACAGACAGACAAAGGGTGGGAAAGAGAGAAGCGCGTGCACACATGGAAGAGGGAGAAGAGGGGTTGATGCTAACAAACCAAGCATATAAATTACAGGTCACTGGATGAAAGAATGTAGAGCCAGAGAAAGGAAACAGCAAACACACTTAGTGTACACTCACATACGGATACTGTGATGGTTTGCGCACCTGTCCGCAACAACAGAACAGACAGACAATGGGACCTCCACCAAGCCCGTGGCAAGAAAAACAACGACAACAACCCCTAATTCAACGAGTGGCCTACTTGTACCCAACTTCCGTAAACGACGAGACGTACAACGCACCACACACATACAGACCTACACAACCATCCAAACGGCAAACATCTACGAGCCCATTTTGGTAAAGATCCAAAGTACATGCATTCATATGGAAACCTACAATAAGTGGACCGAAGGCTAGGACACACATTAGATAGACCTCCGGGTGCCAACGAGTCTTCAGAAGGGCGGAAACGAAAAACAAGTACAAGGCCGAAAGACCCGGGACAACGAAAGTAGAGACAACTGGCAACAAGTTCCGCCGTTGGAGCCCACCGAAAGACCGATCATTCGGAAAGAAAGAAAGAAAGAAAGACTTGAAGAATGAAAGAAGAAGAAAATGAAAATGAAAAAAATAAATAAAAAACAAAGTAAGAAAGAAAGAAAGGAGAACAAGAAAAAGAAGAAGAATATATGGGGTTCACTACTGCGGGCCAAAATCAGCGACAGAGTCGTCCTTCAATACCTTCATGTCCCCCACTAGTGAATATGATCTCTCTCTCTCTCTCTCTCTCTCTCTCTCTCTCTCTCTCTCTCTCCACCTATTCAACCCACCTAACACCATGAAGACTTCCACGGAGTCCACGATTCGACAGGACAATCATTATGCAGCACACACAGTAGAATTATCAAGCTGCCTTTTTTTTCGCGGATCCCCCCTTACGTGACACTCCTTTCCTCTTCTTCGCCCCTGCTCTGCTGCCATCCCTTTCCGCCTGTCTGGCGTCCATCCGTTTTTGTCTCTCCTCAACTCTCGCCTTCTCGTCCAACATACCTTGATATTTCTCAACCCAGCGAGGCTTCGACAACCTGTCTACTAGTCTCATGTCCCTGACCTGGATCGTCACCCTCTTTGAATGGATGGCTACCTCATTGGTGTTCTCGAAATTGGCGACCAGGTATGCCTCGGCAGCCTCCATCAAAGCACGCACCGCCGTCATTTGAAACCTCACGCCCATACCCGGAGCAATGTCCCGCTCCACAACCTCGCGCACGAGACGCAAGAACGGTCTAAAAGCCAAACAAAGGTCGGTGGATCGTTGCAACTTTCTGATTTCCGACAAAGTTGCCATCCCGGGACGTCGACGGCGTCTGGGGACCTGAGTTCGTGCACCTGCGGTGTCTCCGGTCCCTGGCACCGCCTTCGGGTTCACCTTCTTTCTGCATGCGGGTGTCTGCCCACGTGGCGGTCCCGGCGTGCACTTCTTCTTCTTCCCCGGGCTCTGCGACATCGCGACATCGCTCGGCCCGCCCATGTCACCCTGTGCTGCAGAGCACTCCCCGACGCGACCAGGACCACATGGGCCCTCACCTCAGCAGACAAACGGAAAATTTTTGAGCGCTTCTTTGTCCTCTTGCCTGCCTGCGCTGAACCTGGCAAGCCATCCTCTGGCATATACCGAATGTCTCGCAGGAGTCCATTTGAGTAGGTCAGATGGAAAGGCACACCAAGCGGGTCTCTGAATCTCATGGTGACGTCTCCACCATGCTCATATGTCATGGGACATACGACCGGGACCCAACCAAGAACGGTCGGTCGTGCAACCGTGCCTGCGGCGAATGCGAGCCATGTATCTGTTCTCACCGTCGCCGTGCTCTTGGGCCGGACATGGACCACATCCCCTGGTCAACCATGGAGTCATAACCCGCGCACACCATCTGACGCTCCTCCTCCCTTATCTTCTTCCAGCATCGCTTTGCGTGTTCAACCACCAGGACGTGGTCCTTTACATTCAGATTGAAAATTGAGACACGTGCCAGAACCACGAGGAACTGCCAATGCTCCACAATGCCTGCATGCATCCATCCCAATTGGAGCCAATGCCCTGATTGCAGTCTTGCTGCCATCGTCACCTTGCCATCAACCACTGCAGGATGCAAACATCCTGGGACCCAATAGACACGATAGTCATACTTTTCACGGGCCATATGCTGCTGCAACTGTCCTTCAGGGATGACACAGATCCCAATGTCTATGGCAGACAGAACGTCACTCCTCATTGTGACATGGTCCCATATCTGCGAGCATACTCCATCGTACGTGGCTTCTTGCCCTCTTGCATGCGTGTATGTGCTGCCATCCTCACCAGTGAAAACTTTCCCTTCAACCACCTCCGAGTCCACAGGGTTCCGAAGCGGCGGGAAAAAGCAGCCAGCAGTGTGGGTATTACATGCCATTGCCTTCTTCTCGTATTCTGAGACCTCCCTGTCGAGGTGCGTGAAGAAGAAGTTGCCATTCACATAATGCGTGCTCCAGACATTTCCCATGGCATCACGCATCATCCTCCTCACACGGCCACATGGAATCGGGATCACACATGGCACCCAACCCCACCTAGGATCCCTCCTCGCATCGCTCTCATGGCACGCCGTACTCCCTGTTGCGTCGTTCCCGCCAATCACCCATGCCTTTCCGCAATCAAAACTGTCGTACAAAAAATGGTTCAGCCTGAACTCGCCCTGCGCCTCCAGAACACGCCACACGTCCATTGCATATCGTGCTTTCACCTCTGTTGCTGCCCCATCGTTCAACCTTAATAGTCTGTCAAACACGATTGCCAGAGTCGCGTTTCGCCATGTATTCTTTTTGGGGGCAGGAAATGAAACCCATGTCCCTTCGACTTTGAACGCAAAGCACGGTGCTCCAACAATACCCGGTTGGACACGATCCGGCACCCAATTGATGTCATATGGGTACTCTTCTCCTGCTAATGTCTTCACCACATTTTCATCTTTCACAATACACCCTGTCAGAGATTCCCTGCTTCCCAGACCTCCCTCCTCTCTCTCTTCCCCAACCGTTTCCATCTCACAAGTGCTCCCTCCTGCATCATTCTACGTTTCATCACCATCACCCATCATCTCTGCAGTCTGAGCACATATTGTCGCAAGCACCTTTGCACAGTCTGCGCTGTTCCCTCCTGCCGAATTCCCTTCCTTGCTGCCATCTGCAAAACCCTTCAGAATGTCCTCCGTCTCCATGGCGCATGTCTCTCCACCATTCACAGTCGATGCAATCGCAGGTTCCATCTATTGCATGAGACACCACATACATTTATGAGAACACGTAGCTGCGACATGCCCCCCTCACGAGAGGGGGGGAGAGAGAGAGAGAGAGAGAGAGAGAGAGAGAGAGAGAGAGAGAGAGAGAGGTTCACTAGTGCGGGCCAGAAGGACAACAAACAGCACCGGTGGACACTGATATGGCACGCAGTAGTGAACCACTTGTGTGTCGTGAGGCACAAAGCAGCTAACATTTTGGACATAAATTTACTCTAAGCAGAAAGTAATAGTACAGGCAGCACTTAAACACACATCATTGTGTATGTGTGTGTGTGTGTGTGTGTGTGTGAGAGAGAGAGAGAGAGAGAGAGAGAGAGAGAGAGAGAGA